TCGTTTCTGTCAGATAAATTTCTTTATAAAAAAAACAAAAATATGCCAATACCATTAGAAAAAATCCAAGTAATTGAAGATGAAATTGAAAGACTTGACTATGAAGATCATAACAATAAAAATCTTCATACAACAATTACATCATCGGAACAAGACTTTTCTTTTTTAAATAAGTCATCGCATATCAAACGTTCAGTTTATTATGATATGAAATCAATAACTAATCATGAATATCAACCATTAAGACTTAGTTTTGAAATGGAACAATCATCAATTGATTATGTTTTTCGTCGACGATATATTGCACATTGGGGTTTACCAGGTAAAAAAATTGCAATTACTCTAATCAATGACTTACATTTATGAAATAAAAAAATATCTTTTTTTCTTTTAATTTAAATAGAGTGGCTTGGTGATAATCATTTTTTATTACAAAAACATCGACAACCAGCTAATTCTATTCGCGAATGTCTGATATCAATTGCATCAATACATAGTGAAACAATTAATATTTGGACACATTTGATTGGTACACTCTGTATTGCTGTAACATATATACTTTTTCTAATTGATAATTATCCACAATTGGATATAAGTGATATTATATCATTTAGTCTTTTCTTTATATCAGCTATATTATGTTTAACATTTTCAACTTTATTACATATATTTATTAACTATTCACCACGCGTTTTAGTTACTGTTTCGAAACTTGATTATATAGGTAGGTTAACAAGATAAAGTTTGTATTGTTTTTGTTTTTTTTTCTTGTGTTATATAAAAATAGGAAAAAATTTATTCGTAACAACTAAATAGATAGATTATAATAGATATTTGAATGAGAGTATTTCTATGTATTGCCTGAAGCTAAAAACTACTTTGGATTAAATATTTCTACTAGATGATTTTTTTATTGTTTCTGATAAATCTAAGAAGATAATTCATGCGAAGTTTACACAATTTTATGGTCTTTCACAATGTCTGATGAAGATTTGTAGTCACATTAGTTGATGTGTTAAATGACTTGTAAATAAAACGAAATTTGATGAATAAAAAGGAAAACCAAAATAGTTACTTTCACTTCTTTCTAAGTGAATTTCTAAACAGCAAGATATTATACACTGATTTGAACAAAAAAAGCATCTCAAACTTATCGTCTTTGATGAAGAACTATTTCCGATTCTTTACAAACAGAAATTGAATTAAGTTTTTTGGAGTTTTTGCATATTAACTAAACTCTTTTTGTTTATATTTAATAGTAACTTGAAAATGAATCTATAACGAGTGATAAAAACGTTTTTAGATAAGATGTTTGTCCATTTTTGATCTGCTAGAAAGTATTTCTGACAAATCAAAAGCTATGAGTAAGGACCAGGATATCGTGCGCTTAGAAATGTTGTCTCAATTTTTGTTCGAGAGAAATGAAATAATCTTTGAAAAATCTAAAAATTAGTTTAGATTTTCACTATTGCGATTTGAAACTAAAAGTTAGAATTTTTATTTATATATCAGTTTGTAGATCAAAAACTAACCTACAAAATGCACTATTTGAAATTTTTTTTAATCTTTCAACAAGGCATTTAGATTCTCGCTTCTTCTAAATACTCATCTCTGATCGCGACTTATACTGAAATGCTTTCAAGTAAGTCAAAATGAACAAACATATTTACTGGAAACGTCGGTCCATAAGTTCCGCTCAAGCTAATTTTTTAGGCTTTTTACAGATTATTGTACTATTTTCGAACAATAACTAACAAGGGAACCTCTTGAATTATCCCATTCTGATTTCAATGATTTTTTGCCTATAGTTACTACATAGTATCATAATAAAAAGACTAAAAAGATTTGGGTTCTTATTGATATTTTACTAAACTATTGAATTTTTAATGCCTTTCTTTTCTATAGATCTCACATTTTCGAAAACCTAGGATCTCTAGAAAATAGACATATTAAAAATTCGATAGCTCAGTCAAATATCAACAGGAACTCAAATGGTTTTAGAATTTTTATTAGAACATTATGTAGTATCTATAAGCAAAAAATTATTGAAATCGGAAGAAAGTAGCTGAATAGGTACACTCATAAGACAAAATTTCTAAGCCCATAGTTGAAAAGAGAACAAAATTCTACCCTCCTAACTCATAGTTTTTGACTCGTCGGAAACAATTTCTAGTAGATCAAAAGTGAGCAAACATCTTGTCTAACACTTTCCGATCACCTGTTGTCATAAAATTATTTAGCTACATGTGCATTATTTTATATAGGCATAAATATATTAATATTTGGTTCAACGGTACCTGTTGTACATTATTTATTTTATTGTTATTTTCAATTGAAAACTATATATATTAGTATACTTTTTGTGCTTTCAATTGCATCAATGATTGGTACAAGTAGTGCTGCATGTTCAAAACCACGTTATCGTCCATTTAAAGCTATTTTATTTATTGTTCTAGGTCTTTATGGTATAAATAAGATTCATTTTGTTTTTTGGTTTTTTTCTAAAACTTTTTTGTTTTTGTTTGTCTATAAGGTGTTGCTCCAGCAACTCATGCTTGTATTCTTTATGGCTTATCACGTATGTTTGAAATGGGATTTTTATATTTATGTATTATGGCTGTGACATATATTACCGGTGGTATTGTTTATGCAATTCGAATACCAGAACGATATTTTCCTGGTAAGAATAAAAAATAATTGATACTTATTCATCTTTTATCTTTCTTTTTCATAACAGGTCGTTTTGATGTTGTCGGTCAGAGTCATCAAATTTTACATATTGCTGTAATTGTAGCTGTTTATTTACATTTTTATGGTATTTGTTGTTTATTTCATAATATAACTCGAACAGAACAATGTATTATGCCGATAACATTAAAATTTGGTATAACTGATTTATCTATTTCTTCTTAAAAAAATTATTTGTGTAAAAGATAATATTTTCGTGATTTTATTTTATCATCTCTAGTTGCTTTCTTTTGGTGTCTTTCAATCTTTTTTCTTTGTATTGTTCCTTGCAATATAACAATGTGAAAATATTAAATATTAATAAAAATCAGCCTTTAATAAATTATCATCAACGACAATGATATAGAGTTTTATTGTATGAATGGTTACAATACCATTAATTGCTTATAGATCTTTTTGAACTAATTGTTCAATATCATTTAGAATAATTCCCAATAAAACAACAGTAAATTTTACATATATATATATATGTGAAAGTAATAAGCTCATTTTCAAATTGAAACAAGTAGCTTAAATGAATCAGAATTAAGTTTGAATATAAAAGCTATTAGCGTAATTCCTGCCAGATCAAAATGTAAAACATGATGTAGCTGCTGTTGCTAATAACAGGAAGATTGTTTTATTGTATACATTCTAGGTAAGAGGGAAAAAGCGAGACTTCAGTACTTCGAAGTACGAGCAAAGTACCGTACTTCAGTCGTACTTCGTTGCACTTTACTTGTACTTCATTTTTACCTCGGAATACCGAAGTTTCATTTGTCCCCTCCCCCCTTGGTTTTAGGACATATTTCTTCATCATCCTTTTACTTTATCCTTCAGAAATACAATAAGGAAGTAGTTCATATATTACAATGAGATGTTATTCATAAACAATCTGTGACGTTCTCATGATTACGTCTGTCACATTCTGAAGAGAATTTAAACTTTCACCTCTATACTTCAACATTCTTTTTGTAAAACACGAACTAGAAGAAGTGCTGATGTATCGGGGTAGAAATTTGAACCCTTTCCTAATAGATGTGACAGATATTCTTAGCAACGTCTCTTCTTAATCACAGACCATGAGAGGCATAATCATAGAAACATCACAGAGCGTAACAGATCTTGTTGATATACGATCACAGACTGTGTATAAATAATGTCTCGTTATAATATATGAACTACATCTTTAGTGCATTTCTCGAGGAGTCAATAAATGGATGGTGAAGAAATGTGTCCCAAAATAGATAGAATAAAATAATTTCCATATGATTAGCAACAGCAGCTACATCGTATTTCGCAGAATGGAAAGTTATAGAAAGATAATAACAATTTTAATATGTAATGAGATATTTTTTTTTTGGAAAATAACGGAGCCTCACTCCTTTCTCTTGTTCTGTTACAACTCTGGTTCACTATTTCATGCTCGAAATATATAGCTATTCTTTTCTGTGGAGTTTGAAAGAAACAACGATCCGGTCACGAAATTCTATTCTTTTTTCTAATGATATGTCAGCTGTTGAAAAGTTGTCTGAGAAAAGAGATGAACGTTGAATTCTCTTTCTCTTCAATCGAACAGATTTACAATATTGTCATATAGAATTTCTCAACATTTTAATGAAATAGTTCAGCTGAAAGTAGCCGATTGTTTGATCTTTTCTCTCACTCTTCAAAATAATTATTTGTTTCTTGACAACGTGAACTATGGCATCAAAAAAAAAAAAGAATATTCGGAAGACTTGCGAATTTTAATAGTTAATCTTCATTTGAATGGAGATTCATTAGATGAAATTGCGAAGTACATGAATATTTCACGAATAACAGTTCAGTATATTGTTAAGAAATACAAATTGTACAAACGAGTAAAAAACTTTTCTGGTCGAGTAAGGAAGAGAATTACGACACAAAGAGTGAAGGATTTTATACGAAGAAGATTGATTTTTCAACGACGAAACTCGTTCGTATCACTAAAGCCTAAAATAGAAAATCAATTCGGAGTAGCAACATCTATGGCAACAATAAACATTGAATGAACGAAGTTGGTTATTTAGAGCGGATCGCACTAATAATAAAGGAAAACGCTTAAAGTATACATTAAAATACGTTGAAAAGAATTATCGCTTTTGAAAACAAAATCGTATGATCTGGTGAGACCAACTTTAATTTGTTTGAATCAAGTTTTTAAGTAATGATTTGAGCAAAAGTTAAAGAAGAATATAATTCAGATTGTATATTACCAACAGTTAAACATCATGGGCGCCATGCGAAAGTGCAAGACTGCTTCAGTGGAAAAGGAAGAAGCAATCTTGTTTTTATCGGTGAGACTTAAACAGGTGAAAAATACAAAGAGGTTTTGAAGAAAAATCTATTTGTATCAGATTGATTGGATGAAAAACGTGTAAAACGTCGCATCTGGCTATCATAAAATCCTGATCTCAACTCCTATCGAACATTTATGGACCGAATTTGATCGACGATTTCGGAAACGTACATGATCGAAAAATGAATATGAACTGAAACAAAAACTATGACAAGAATGGAATCAACTTGAACACGATGTAACTAAAGAATTAGTTGATTCCGTTGAGAATCGTTTATAAGAATGCATAAACAAATAAGGCTTTCCAACTCAATATTAATAGAATTATGCAAGAAAAGTATGAAAAGAACAAAAAATTCATCATATTTCTTTCCGCTTTTGATATTAGAAAAAATACATTATACTATTATTAGCTATATTTAACTACATTCAATAGAGAAATTCTCATGTCATTAAGAGGACTGAACTTGAAACTAATTCAATTTTTTTTTTTTTTTGATGAACCTGATGTCGTTTTCTCGCGTGAAAGGTACGATGTACGAATAACTTTGAGCGGAACGGAAACAGTACAATTTTAATATTTTTAACCTAAGAATGCCAAATATTTGGTTAATCAAGATGAAAATTTTTACAAATATACTAGAAAACTTCAGTTACATTTTGATGAAAGTCAGAACTCGAAAGGTCGAATTGTTGCAACGATATTAGGATAATAAGGTTATTTATCAGCTGTATCAATAATTTTTAGCGTCTTTGTACATCAAACAGCACTTCTAATGGATATAATTTGTCAAAAGTGAACGAGATAATATCATCATTAATAAAAATATCCATCAATTGTACTATTATTCGTTCTTCTTCATTCACACTCACATTATTTGTGTAAATTAATCGCCAATCTATCGCAAAAAGACTTCACTCTTAAAACTTTACGTAAAGGCATAAATCTTTACTTCGATTACTTCGTATTGCTATCAAATACTTATTTGAAATATATCCAAAACTTTCCTCGAATACGCTTGGATTATTATGTATACAGTCTTGAAACAATGATATGCGATCCTTGTACAAATTGTGATTATTCTTATGAGATTTATTAGCAAAAATACCATACGAAACAATTCGTTTCGATCAAGTTAAAAATGTACTTGACTATTATTCCTAATAGATTATTGGTGAATGCATCATGAATTCTAAATGACTTTATTTTCCGTTAGAAAATCGACACATGTAATAGTTCCACATATTCTAATCACTTTATTTATATCAAAACTTTACTCTAATAATAATGATATTTAATCGAAAAGAAATACATTTGAAAAGTCAATCTGACCAATCGAGTTCTATTCCAAGTTCTTCCGAAAGTCGTTCAATGTTCAATTCCATCTTCCATCGATCATCATGCCATGGAGACAGACATTTCCTGTAGATATCTAATGCTTGTTGATAGTAATCAAGTGCCAACATAGATTTATGAAGTTTTTCGTAAATCTCACCTATGTTTGATAAACTATGACCAATATCTTCATGATCTGGTGATAGAGCTTCGAGACGCATTAACAAACAATTTTGTTCATATATAAGAGAGAGTTGATGCTGTCCTCTCGTTCTTTGTACTTGTGACAAACAATTAAGTACGTTAGCGATGGAGAGACTTCTTGAAGGTAGATTGGCCTCTTTAATTAATAAACATCTTTCCAAATATTCAATAGCTAGATCGAATTGAGAATTTTTATTGAAATTAGCAGCAATCCAATATAGGCAATCAGCAATTTCAACATGATCATGGGAATAATATTCTTTGAATATGATTAATGCTTGTTGATAAGAGTCGAGAGATTCATGATATTTTGTTTGCTTAAAAAGAGTACCACCGATATTCTTGAGATTGCTAGCAATTTTGAACTGATCATTAGGCAAGTTACTTTTGAGAACAGTCAATGCTTGTTGTTGAAAGTCGAGAACCTTATCATATTTTCTTTGTCTTTTGAAAACTTCAGCTATATTGTTCAGATAAGTAGTGGTATTCGAATGATTGGATGAATCCTTCTTGTAAAATGCCAGCGCTTGATAATAAAAATCGAGAGCTTCATCATATTTTTCTTGGATACCAAATATATTACCAATGGAATTTAGACAAGTAGCAAGATTTGTATGACCGGATGGATAATATTGTTTATAAATCGTCAGTGCTCGTTGGCAGAAATCGGAGGCTTCATCATACTTTCCTTGCATAATTAGGGTCATACCGATATATTGCAGATTCTCAGCAATATCAACATGACCAGATGGATAACAGTTTTCGAGAATTCTTAAGGCTCGTTGATAACAGTCGAGTGCTAGATTGTATTCTCTTTGATTAATTCGAATATCACCGATGCGATTCAAACTATCCGCAATTTTTTCATGATCAAAGGAATACTTTTCTTCTCGAATTGTTAATGCTCTCTGTTGAAATTCAATGGCTTCTTTGTATTTTTCTTGTTTGCTCAGAACATCAGCAATATTGATAAGACCATTAGTAATGTCAACAGGATTCGATGGACAGCATTTTTCGTAGATTCTCAGCACTCTTTGATAGAACTCAACAGCTTCATCATATTTTCTTTGTTTGTTCAGAATAGTAGCGATGTTGTTCAAACTATTAGCAATGTTTACATGATCAGAAGGATAATATTGTTCTCGTATCATCAATGCTCGTTGTTGAAACTCGATAGCTTCATTGTACTTTCCCTGGTCTCTTAGAACATTGGCAATATTTATCAGATTATCAACAATACCAACATGATTAGTTGCATCATAGTTCTCTCGAACTGTTAGTGCTCGTTGATTGAAGTCAAGAGCTTCATCATACTTTCTTTGCCAATGCAGAGCTTTCCCAATATTACTAAGAACGGTAGCAATACCAGTATAACCAAATAGATGGAATTTCTCTCGAATAACTAATGATC